CCCCAAAACCCCAAAACCCCAAAACCCCAAAACCCCAAAACCCCAAAACCCCAACCTAAAGCCTCCAATGATAATATTTATTTAAGGAGTGCTTTATCACAACAATGGAAGAAGACAATACTTTGTTTGACTGTAACATACGTGAATCGCTACTAAGAGGGTCAGAGGAGGCTAAGCAGCCTGTGGCAGTCAAGGTCCAACACAAAAACTTGCATAAAGCATTTCATTGTGATAGGACCTTCAACTTCTTTGAATTCTGTTGTTTTCTTGCATTACTTTTCTCGTTCGCATTACAAGGACTGATCTCGTATAATTTATACCTATTTGAGTTGGAACCACAATATCTTTGAAGGTTCAGCTTGAAGGATCATTCTGCGGGGCAGGAAGCCCCTCCCTTTGTACCTTGTAGTAGCAATGAGCTTGATAAAGCACTTGAATGGAAGCTAGACTTCTCCAGAGATGATCTGAACCTTGATAACTGGTTCACAAGGCTAAAGTAAGGATTACTAATTTTGAAAAACTCAATTCTTATAGCTTCCAAACAGTTGAAAGTTGGAAAATCGGAATGATTGGGGCTCTATACTTCATAGGATACATAGCCGGGTCAACATATTTCCCAAGACTAGCTGATATCTACGGGAGGAAACTCTTCGTCGTCCTAGGAGGATTCATGCAGTCATTCTCAACTATAGCATTGATATACTCCAACAGCTTCGTCCTGATATATATAAACATGGTGATTGTTGGTATTGCTTCACCCTTCTTAGCCTCTATCGGGTATAACTACATTCTTGAGCTGATACCAGAGTCATTCGAGAACCCTGTGAACACCCTGATTATGATCATAGATGCATTTGGAAGTCTTATAGGGATCTTCTATTTCTCATACTTTTCCAAAAACATTGACACATTCTTGCTAATTGTTGGACTAATGGGCATTGTATCATCCTTATTACACTGCCTCACACCCGAGAGCCCTGTTTTCCTTGATAAGAACAATGAGCAGAATGATATGGAAAGGGGCAGAACACTCTCCAATGTTGAAGAGAGGGAAATGACATCGATTTTCGACTTTATTACCAAGAGCAACCTTCGGACCAACATTCTTGTGATGATTTGCGTCTGGTCAACTACTTCTGCAGGATATTATCTCATAAATTTCAATATGAAATATGTCGGAGGGTCTATCATGAGCAACATTGTGGCATCCTGTTCTTCTGAAATATTTGCTGACCTGGTAGCCTTCCTGATCTTCGAATACTACGGATCAAAGGTATCCTTAATCTTATTCTTCTCTGTATCAGGAGCTGCAGGTGTTTTCGGGTGATTTGAGTTCTCCTCCCCAACAATAATCATTGGAATAATTCTGACAGCAAGGTTCGGAGTTGCTGCTTCATTCTGCGTCATATACATAACAACAGTCAGGATCTTCCCGTCCGTTTATTCGGCAACTGCTTTCGGAATCTGTAATATCTTTGCCAAAGTAGTTACTGCTCTGATCCCAATGCTGGTCGAGTTCCCTGAACCCTACCCAATGTTGTTCCTAGCAGTCACTTGTCTCTCAGTCTGATTCACTGTGATGTTCCTCGATGAGACCAAACAGCACGATAAAGGCGAAAATTCCCCAGAGAAATCTTAATAAATCCACAACTTGGGAGCTAACTTCATGGATAAAGATTGGATGGTTATTTAGGTGAAACATTCTCAATTTAAGGTGAAAAAACTGGGGTTTTGGGGTTTTGGGGTTTTGGGGTTTTGGGG